GGTCGTGTATTACTCCTGCGCACGTAAGTAAATTGTGCTCACAATTATGACACAGAGCAATGATAAGGGACTGGTGTGTCTTCCGTTTCGACATGCCTCCGGTCAGTCGAATTTTTCAAATTAGCTTCGCAAAGTTTTTTTGCGAACAGGTGAAATAGGTGACCGTTAGCCAGAATCTCTGTAGCAACGCCTGGAAAACGAGGTCAGCAAATTTCCCAAAACGTACAGGAATTCTCCGCAGCTCAGCCAAATGGACTTGGTGATGCGTCTAGCTTCATTGAAGTCAGTTCAGTTAACAGGCATCGCATTCATTCGCGTTCACAATCATTCATGTATGAAATCATTCGTAGCACGTGCCATTGTACACGTGCAACTTCGTGTCACATTTCGTACCGCGTTTCTCTGCAAACGCATTTCTTGCGCGCCGCCTTTTTCGCGTAAGCAATTCTTCGTATCACATTTTTGATACATTCCGTTCTTCCCATCGCAATTATTTCAATTTCCAAGTCTTTAGCTGGTGAGGTCTAAGTGTGCTTAATAAGATAGTGGGTAAGTAAGCGCATGCGTCTGGTTTGATTATCAAAATCGTAAGTATAATTATGATTGTGTAAGACCACATGGATTCGCACCTCCCTTCAATTGGAAACTTGCCCTGAATGATTCTACTCGCTGCAAACGGGCCTTTAGATTGCACGCTTTGTGGGCTCCGTATTCAAGTCTTTGTGACACATTGGCTCGAGTGTCCGGACATTTCATCAACAGAACTGCAGGCATCAGAGGAGTCAATAATCAGAATCAGAGGAACACCAGGATATACACCAGTCGAGCAGAGTCACGTGTGTTGACAGAACACCATAATACACACGCTGGGTTGATCGCATTACACCTCCAGGCGGGTTTGCGAGTTGTGATTAAATGGCGTGAGGAAAAAAAACGGATAACAAAAACGAGCAACGGGACAATGGGAGGCAAACAAATGACACGGTGAGTACTTGCATTTGCACGTGCTCCAACAATCAGAATTGCAATGCATTCGATAACGTCATCATGCAGCCTGGTATGCACTCTTAGAAGATTGTGGAGTACTGCACATTAGTGAAAAAAACATGGCTCACTCCATGCCACACCACAGCACGCGCGTGCTTAACCTTTCTCCCCGTCCCCTAATCCTGCAGCGAGGGACCTCCTCGTCAATGACAGACAAAATCAGGCGAATACGCTACTTCAGCTGCTGTCTGACGCATCCTCACCGCCGACTTTGTGCTCTTCTGTCTTTCACACTGTGCCCACACTGCACCGAAGCAGGCCCGGGCCTGCACGATTTTGTGCGGTGCGTTGATACATGCTGCATCAGCACACTCCGCACCACAACAACCCACCCAGGAGCCGACTGTAGATGCGCGGTACGTTGATACATGCTGCATCAGCACACTCCGCACTGTAACAACCCCCCAGGAGCCAGCTGTAGATGTGCGATGCGCTGATACATACTGCATCAGCGCACTCCGCATTGTAACAACCCCCCCAGGAGCCGACTGTAGATGTGCGGTACGTTGATACATGCTGCATCAGCGCACTCCGCATTGTAACAACCCACCCAGGAGCCGACTGTAGATGCGCGGTACGTTGATACATGCTGCATCAGCGCACTCCGCATTGTAACAACCCACCCAGGAGCCGACTGTAGATGAGCGGAGTGGAACAGGCGGTACCAGGGTCGAAAGCTGTGGGGTGAGGGCAGGCAGGTACGGAGCGGACAGGTACCGAGCGGGCAGGTACGAAGCAGGCAGGTACGGAGCGGACAGGTACCGAGCGGGCAGGTACGAAGCAGGCAGATACGGAGCAGGCAGGTACCGAGCGGACAGGTACGGAGCGGACAGGTACGGAGCAGATAGGCACGGGGTAGGCAGCTACTGCGCAGACAAATGCGGAGACAGCGGTGCATGGCGATCGTCGTCGAAGACGCTGAAATTCTTACTATAAATTTGGTCCAAGCTTTTTTAATGGATCAATTTCTATGATCAGAGCTAACGCTAAGCAATGCACGCTCAAGCAAACTCAGGCTGACTCAAGCGGACTCAAGCGGACTCAGGTGAACTCAAGTGGACTCAAGCGGACTCAAGTGGACTCAAGTGGACTCAAGTGAACTCAAGTAAACTCAAGTGGACTCAAGTGGACTCAAGTGGACTGGAAGGGACGGCTGTACGCCCAGCTGTGTCCCCAGAGCTTTCAATGGCTGATGATATTATGCGCCTCATCAGAGGACGGTGAGGTCAGGGGCAGCTTCACCACCACCATTCCAGTACCCGCAGCACAGTGAGGTCAGGGGCAGCTTTACCACCACTTGTCCGGTACCCGCAGCACAGTGAGGTCAGGGTCAGCTTTACCATCACCGGTCCGGTACCTACTGCAAGGTGAGGTCAGGAGCAGCTTTACCATCACTGGTCCGGTACCCGCGGCACGGGGAGGTCAGGGTCAGCTTTACCATCACCGGTCCGGTACCTACAGCAAGGTAAGGTCAGGAGCAGCTTTACCATCACTGGTCTGGTACCCGCAGCACGGGGAGGTCAGGGGCAGCTTTGCCATCACTGGTCCGGTACCCGCAGCACGGGGAGGTCAGGGGCAGCTTTACCATCACCGGTCCGGTACCTGCAGCACGGGGAGGTCAGGAGCAGCTTTACCATCACCGGTCCGGTACCTGCAGCACGGGGAGGTCAGGGGCAGCTTTACCATCACCGGTCCGGTACCCGCGGCACGGGGAGGTCAGGGGCAGCTTTACCATCACCGGTCCGGTACCTGCAGCACGGGGAGGTCAGGAGCAGCTTTACCATCACCGGTCCGGTACCTGCAGCACGGGGAGGTCAGGGGCAGCTTTACCATCACCGGTCCGGTACCCGCGGCACGGGGAGGTCAGGGGCAGCTTTACCATCACCGGTCCGGTACCTGCAGCAAGGTGGGGTCAGGGGCAGCTTTACCATCACTGGTCCGGTACCCGCGGCACGGGGAGGTCAGGGGCAGCTTTACCATCACTGGTCCGGTACCCGCGGCACGGGGAGGTCAGGGTCAGCTTTACCATCACTGGTCCGGTACCCGCAGCACGGGGAGGTCAGGGGCAGCTTTACCATCCCTGGTCCTGTACCCGCAGCGCCGTTATCTGCCTGAACGGCTTGCTCGATTGACGCTGGACTCGAGAGTTCGCTCATGAGCATGGAGCGACGTTCGGGATGATGACGATGATGATGACGATGATAATGGTGACGATGATGGCGGACCGCTGCCGCGCTAGCTGCGGCCCGCAGTGCGGGATAAGACGGCCCCTGCGTTCGTGGGGGACAGGGGGCGCGTGGGGATGAAAGGTCCCCTCTCTTCTTCTGACTCAATGGTAATTCGAGGGCGATGCGGGGGGGGGGGGGGGGGGGGAGGGGGAGAAGTGATTTGGCAGTGAATTTGCATAGTGACTGTTGGGATATTCTTACATTCGTGGCTTCCCCACCATGTCATCGGAGCACCAGTGTATCGTGACAAACGGCGCAGTAATATGACAACCTCCACCATGTCAGTCAGGTGACATCGAAGCATCTGTATCGTGGCATACGGCGCACTGGTATGGCAGCCTCCACCATGTCAGGCAGGTGGTATCTGTGTCGTGACACACAGCGCACTGATATAGCAGTGCCCACCATGTCAGTCAATTAGCATCTGTGTCGTGACACACAGCGCACTGATATAGCAGTGCCCACCATGTCAGTCAATTAGCATCTGTGTCGCGACACACGGCGCACTGATATAGCAGTGCCCACCATGTCAGTCAATTAGCATCTGTGTCGTGACACACAGCGCACTGATATAGCAGTGCCCACCATGTCAGTCAATTAGCATCTGTGTCGTGACACACAGCGCACTGATATAGCAGTGCCCACCATGTCAGTCAAATAACATCGGAGCATATACATCGTGGCATACGGCTCAGTGATATGACAGTCTCCATCATGTCAGTCGAATGACATCCGAGCATATGTGTCGTGACATACGGCGCAGTGATATGGCGGCGTCTATTGCTTCGGTTTTTCGTTCTTGTCGGAGAAACAAAATCACCTTCGATGGGGCGCCATGACGACTGCCACTTGGATGCCTGTGAGACAGCCCTTCATCCATTTCATCGCTTGGCGTCGAGACCGACCCGACAGCTCTTCTCATAACGGTGGATTTCGGTGGAAGCGAAACACTTGTAGGGAAAAGTTTTTTGGTTATTTTGGTGTTTTCAACCGAATAATCTTCACTTGGTTACACTCGGAGTGGATTGGCGCCTTAAATCAGTTGATTTGCGATTAGTACTTATTTTGGTACCTACCGGTACCTACCGGTACGTACCGGTTTGGTACCTACCGGTACCGGATTGGTATCTACCGGAAATGACCATTCCAAAATGGCCGACATACTGTCGTGCGCAGGCTTTCTCGGGTGACCAAGTGGTCGATTCATATCACTGACGGCGATGAGACGTACTGGCACCACCCACCTTCACCAACGGTTAAAAAAACACATGAGACTGGCTACACCACCCCTCCCCTGCGTGCCTCCTGGCAAATGCATGCAGCGTACATGGGTGGAGACAGCGATGAAGCACGGGCGGATGGAATCATACCAGTTTTCCTGCACACAGCTTAAGCTGATAAACGCCTTGCCGTTGGGTCAAACTAAAAAACGTTGCCTCACCGACTTTGTTCTTCCTTCTCCACTTGTGCATGCAGCTGGGCTAGGCGCTTAGCATGTATTCCAGAACAGACGAGAGAAGCAAACAAAGTCCAGCATCGAGTCACGACGTTCCCAGGAAGCCGCAAGAATGTTTGTCAAATTGACGGATCCCGTTGCAGCCACGTAGCATGCTGCACAAGGACTGAAAACCATCCGGCGTAGGGCTTACGCGTCCCGGATTTATGAGACGGGCCCGTGCCGCTATAAGAGGCCGACAACGGCTTTGCCTGGCCAGCTTTGCTTGGACTTGCAGACACCAAAGCCGCAGTTCATCATGCGGCTCGCGTTGCTCCTGGCGGTACTGTGCTGTGCCAGTGCCTTTCCGTTGAATGGCGTGGCCACTATATTCCGGACCAACAACACACCAGCAGGTGAGATCATTATCATAATTGGCGGCGTTTCACGCAGCGGCGGCCCCTGGTGGCACGTGCTTCTGTTCTTAAATTTATGACATGCATCAGCATGCGTGCGAACAACTTTTGACAGCAGAAAATTAAGCGCAGACAAAATAATTCTGTAATAAATAAGAAAAATAAGAAGTAAAAAATAGAAGCTTAATAAAATAAGAAGCTTGTAAACACGTGATGTTGGTTTACGACAAATTTTAATTTTTTCGCTTTTACGACAAACCAAATTCCACTCTCCCGTCGCCCGGCGAACAGCGTTTTCAGTAAACAGAGTTTTAATTGTCCCCCCACCCGATCGCAAAATCCTGGATCATAATCATCCTAGTCGATCACTCTATTCTGCTCAGAAGTAAGTAATTGCACCGGTTGCAAGAATAGCATTCGTGCACAATTCGGTGAATTACATGCGCATTTCTCCACCCTGTGCTGGATTCAACAGAGATCACATTTCGGCTGCTGATTAGTAACATCTAAGACAGTACCCGATAAATCTCAATATTTATTTTACATGTGTCGTCAAGCAAAAAGGTTGTTGGAAATTTCATCCCACTTAGATATTGTGAGTGTGATGATGTTAGGATGAAAGTCGTCAGTGCCTTCCGAGTTGAAATCGCATATGGTACGTAGCATGGCAAGGTTGCGATGTGGGCATGACGTCCCTTTAAACTCCGCATGAGTTCTAGATTAAACGTAAGCACGAAAAAGAGAACTCGGCGCAGGTGCCAGAACAAAGAAAATGACTTATGGAAGCATTTCACCAACAGAAAAGCGTAAACTGCACATTGCGGGGCGGAAAAAGAACATTTTACATCATATCCGGAATGCTCTCTTTCTTTGAATTTCTAACTTTTGAGCGCAGTTAAGTGCATGCCGTTTTTTTGCAGCTGCAACACGAACTGATTCGTCCGGCATGCAGCAGAAATCGGATCGCACAAACGACTTGAATCACGAGGGTTTGCGGTCGTGATAAATCATCCACGACTCGAACTAATGAGGATCCACTGGGGCGCTGGCATGCTGCATTAAACTACGCTGCAAAACGAAAAGAGCACAAGATCATGAGTTTAAGAAAAGATAGACCCAAATGACTGACATTGACGATAAATGGTCTCGATTTAGTCTTAAAATTATCTCGGCAAACTCAAAGGTGGGAGCAGTGGCGATTGCGAAGCCGCAGCGACGTGCACGGATTGCATAAAAAGGACATCGACGTAGCTACATGAACATCTTAGAGCTGGCACCGTCATCATGTACCCCTACGCCGTGTCATGTACGTGATGATACGCAACCAAAGCCATGTCACAAACGAGGTCTTGGCCACTGAGCCGGCGGCGCTGGCGACGTCCCTAAGCCGCCACCGAGGGGAACCTGATTTACGCATAAGAGAAGAGCACCGGCCGTGCCAGGAGGGTTACGTTCACTTTCCTAAGCACCGATTCATCACAGCCCTGTGCAGGGCGAATGCTGATAGATCGAGTCTCGTTGTCGACGCACCTGGGTGGGCTCCCACCCCTCTGCGTCCACCACATTCTCGTCACGTTCGAAGGATCAGCCCCGGACGTTGTGATGACCTTCCCCCGTCGCGTGATGGTACCGTGGTGGCCGGAGAGGCGACTGCGGATCAGAGGATGTTTTGCAGGCCGCGGGCGCCCACAAGGACGCAAATCCCCCGCATGATTCATTGACTGTCTCGAAATCGCAGGGCACCTCCCATTCCGTCGAAGCCGAGCTGTCGCCATGGCAACTGCCGCGAGACAGTTGACGCCGCCTGACGTGTCGGGCAGCCCGTTGAGCACTTTTACAGTTGTTGATAACTGCAGCACACCCGCCGCTGGATCGAGCCGTTGGGCCCTTTCTGCACAATGATCGCTCAAGCTGCCAAGGCTGCTTTCTGAGTGGAAAACAGCATTGCCTCACAAGTTTGCGCAATTTGTCGTATGCGCGTTTTCGGCAGGCCTGGTCTTAACGCACCGTCAACCCAGGCATGTTGGACAGGCTTATTTTTCAAACAGCACGTGGCATTAGGAGCAAGCTTTACTTGCGAAATTTGAAACGCGCCATTGTACATCTGAGACAGTGTATCGTGAGCTCAACGAACGCGGGCATTGCTCACCCTCGGCTTATCTCTGGTCATGTAACTTTGCGTTGGTGATCAGCGCAGCAACAGCTTTCAGTAGTTTTTATACGTTACCTGTTCGTAAGATTATGCGCAGCATTAAAACAACGTCGCATGTGTCAGCGTTTATACTCGCAGGATTGTTTCCGCTCGTGCTGTTTGCACTGAAGGTGCCATGAGGTAGCGATGTATTCAGACAAGCCCCAGTCGGTGTCAAAAGATGGAATTCTATTCGCAACATTTGTGCAAGTGCATACATTGATAAGTGGCTCAAACATGACTGCGCTTCAGGCACTGGTGAGCACGAACACAATAATGTTATTAGTGAGCACCGTGAGGCGTTGCACATAAAGAATGTGTCTGCAATATTATCCTCGCCTCAGTCATTCGCCTGCAGCACTGACCTCTCCGCGGCGTCACATAGCATTACATCGCCATCGCCATCGACGTTGTGGCGATGCGCTGCTTTTCACGCATGCCCCAAGACACTGTCACCGTGGATCAAGCGTTGGGTGGGATCAAGACCCTCAAGACGATACTTTACGTGCAACACCACCGGCGTGACAATAATTCCGCGTAAATCATAATTCGGGTACTCAAATTGGAAGGGTGGGAAAAGTGGAGAAGTGAATGGGTCATGATGCACTTACTTTACTTTCCAATGCAAAATAGATAAGAAGCTCAAGGGCTAGGCAGAATTCTTTTAAACTTTTTTCAGAACCTTAAAGACCTCTACGATGACGCATAGTCGAAGCTGACCGGAAGGGCGGTGTGGCCAACCTCCTTTTCCAAGCACGTTTACGTTCCCCCTTGCCTTACCCCCTATTCCTGTTTTGAAAATTATCGCACCGCCCTTCTCTGTCCTAGATCATAGAAGAAATAAAAACGTGGCTGCCATTAGCTTGCTCGATATATAGTCCGCCAGCACACAGCCTAAGTACCACGGTTTTGGAAGAGCTTTCGACTGACACAAATGTTATGTTTTGGCATAGTAGATAATGGAAGACTGCTGCGTCTTTGCTATGTCTTTTTTGGTTCTGTCAGAAGTTTTTTCTATACGCTGATCAAATTTTGCAAAGAATCGGCCATAGCATGTCCCCTAAGGATGACGAGTGCACGACATTGCTCCATAACCCATAGCATTACGGTCGGAGGCAACACTCCAACGTGGCAGTATTTAGTTTATTCAGAATGTGCTGAAGTTAGAATACGGGTGTTTATAACCACGCCTCGCTCGACGCAAAGTGAAGCGAAAAACTGATTGGGAAGGCCGCACTATTTTTAGCAGTGTTTTTAGAATGCATGCCACGATTTTTTGGAGGCCATTTAAGCTCTCCGGATGCACTATCGGTTTTCTTTCCGGGCTTCCGGGTAGGCTCTCTTTTCGGCTTTCTTTCCGTAGTCTGTTATCAGTTGCCATCCGACATGCGTATTAATTTGTCTTTTCCCCTCTCTACCAGCGATCCATTGATCGGTTGATTGTATGGTCATACTGTGTCTGCATTAGTTGATCACTTGGCCAATTGCCTTTACGTAGGCAACAACAAACTCTAAAAGAAAATTTTGGTTTTGAGCTTTGCCTACGAAACCTTCGAAACAAATATTACCATAGAACTAATAAACTATCCAGTCAGGTCAAAAAGACGCGACAGAAAATAACTCAATGTCCTGCCTCAATTCACCCTCGCTATCATTCTTGCGGAGCCCATTTCCTATTTGAATGACCTCGTCATCCTCCTATTCATGACTGTCTTTTGAAGGTGTTGCGAGCACAAAACTCTCATCATGTATCGTCATCACCCACCTTGGCTGGTACCGGTATGCACACGTTCCAGGAATCATTTGCACGCCGAATGGATAGACAAAAATAATTTGAAAGCACACTTGAATTTTTGACCTCGTGAACAAGGTCCGGGACCAAAAACTTATCAAAAATACAACTTAACGAATATCACGTATATCATCACTATAAGTAGGTCATATGAATTACGTTTTTATACTTGCCATGTCTTACACTGCACATGCACTGTACGATTTTGAGAAAAAACAGGCAACAACTTGTCTATTACGCTGCACACACCAAACAGATGTCATTTTCAGCGATGTAAAAAGCGCTCAGTCAATACCTCACCTGGCTACCGTTGACTATGTGTGTCCGTGTGACAGCCAAGCGTTCTGTTCATTTTCAGGTGACTGTACTGCCACAGGACCGTCAGGTAGTGACCCATGCAAGTTCTGCAAATGCTTCCCCACTGGAGAATGCATCGTAAGTAGCCCGTACTGCCGGCTTGTACGACGCCATGACCATTTTAAAGTTCGTGAGTTGGATGACTTAGAGGAATGGACAGTAACAAAGCATATATACACGGACAGACATAACCAAGGGGACGTCGGGGGGTCGCCTCTCTGAGACCCGCATTTTTAAAACTTTCTATCACGGATGGCTCCTGACGGAATGTTCAAAATCGACATCATCCGTGCTCGCTGAGCTCGCGCGTATCTTAAAAAAATCCTGGCTGCACCATTTTGTACCTATCCATGGATTTATTCCACCCTTAATGGCGTGGCTCATCTGATCTTGAAATAAATCTCATTCATATAAGAGCAGCCTGAAAAACAAAACTAATGTACCGATAAAGCAAAGAGGTGACAGGAGGAAAGGAAACAGAAAAATCAGCCCATAAACGAAGATGGGGAAGTGTTCTTGAAATAACAAACATATCGAACAGTGTGGCTCATCTGGTTTTGAAATAATCACATCTATTATAAACATGGTCTGAAAACAAAAATAAAGTTTCGATAGAACAACAAGGTGACAACAAGGAAAAGAGACAGAAAAATCAGCTTATAAATGAAGCCAGGTGCATATGCCGCAGGGGTACACATGAGTGCACGTGGGTGATGATACCCAAGGGATATCATCACCCATGCATGATAATTTGCCTGGATTAGGATTACAAACGTAATAGGACTAAAAAACGCTCTTTCAACCGCTTAAGATCAAGAAACATGCACTGCCAGTATCCGCAACCAAGTAACACTTCGTAGAAGGCAGCGGGTCGGTGCCGACGTTCCAAAAAAAATGTGTACGGATGCGGCTGATTGCATCCCGCGTGAAGGCCACTTACTGTAGACATCCGGGCCTCGGCTCTTGTGGCCGGGAGACATGCGGTCGATTCCTTGTACCCTTGAGACGGATGTGGGTAGCGGAGACGTGAGCATCCCTTGCTTAAGGAGAGGGCGCGGGAGCCGGAGAAGCACGGTGCAGGTTTCTCAAAACGTCTGCTGTATGCGAGATGGCCGTTGTCTTGCGACCGGGAGGCAATTGGAATGCTGTTGGCACGTGGGCATCGCGACACGTTCCCTTGTTTTTAGTCATTCATCAAGTTTGCAGCATTTACTTATTTTACCATTATCTGATACTGTGATCATATAATTATAATACCTTATTGTTGAGCCTTCTATTATTTGCTATGAGACATGCTGCTGACTGCTCAGAATCAGAAGGGGTTGAGGAAGTGCACAGGAGAAAACCCATAATTCTGCAGTTCTGAGTTATCCTAGCTCACAATATCAATGCCGGGTCGTTTGTCCTCCCGGCTTCGACTACTACACAAAACGGTTAGATTTTTTGCCGGGCTGAATTACCCCACCGTCTGCTTATCCTCCTTCGCAGGCACTCGCCATCTCAGTTGGTATTAATGACTCAGCGCGCGATGCGCTTGGGCGTTACTTTATGTTTAAAGGTACACCCAAATAGAGCTTATATGGCGCCCGTGAGAACATGCGTTCCAAGCATCAAAAGCACCGTTGATACCACCGAAACAACTTTTTGAATGTTTTATATGAATGTGAAAGGCGTATGGAAGGCCTCGAATGTGAAGCGCAAACAGGAGCTTGACATATCGATAGATTTATTTGCGGGGACATAAACAGCCGGTATTTCGAACTGAATAAAACAATTGTATCCTCAGCCCCTCAACCAGGAATTGCATCGGATGGACTTGCATGAAGGGAAAGCATCCAGTTCTTATTAGAAAGTATTCGATTGAAACCAACAAGGGCACATTCTTGCGTTGCGGGAGGACATTAAGCTTGTGGCACACGTGACAATGACGCCAGGGAAAACGTGCACACTTCCTCCGGGACTGCAAGGAGTAGCAAGAAGCCAACACCAACCGATTACAAAACAACCACATCTAAGTGCAACAAATAAACAAGCATTTCGCCGTTCATCCATCAAGCATCATCTGTCCGTTATATCATCATCGCGCGTTGCAAAGCATGCACCATGCCGAGTCGCCGAGCCCTGTCGCCTACTTCAACTCTTTAGCTCGCGAGACTACACCGTCATTGGCTCGCCGCGCATAAGACACCTGGACGCAGCGTGTGGCTGAGCTCCTGGCACGAGCCCAGATTATCATCTGTCACCCCCTCTCCTCCCCCTCTCAATCGGCTTAGGACTGGAATCGCTCGCTAGACCACGGGTCCCGTGCATTGACGCTGTGCCGCTGTGCCAAAGACAAAGCTGGCACGGGTCTTACCACATCGTCAGTCGTGACGCTGGGCTTATTGGGTAATGAAGATCTCGTTGCTCGGTTCATTGGGTCATGGAGACCAGGTCAGCTGAATTCCTTTGGTCGCCGTGGTGATGCGGTTCAGCCACAGGGTCTGCTGAGAACCTTTTCTTGTGAGCAAAGTTTAAGTATTTTTCTACCGGTCATATGTGTGCCTGGGCTTTATATGACGTTCCTGTATAACTTTTTTAAGGACGCATTTGGTCTCCGGTTTTCTGTATGAGAAACTCCCTGCACCGCGTTTTTGAGACATGCGATCCTGTCCAGTATCCATAAATCGGTCCCCCCTCCCCAGCCTGTCGTCATGAAAGGAGAGGCAGGCGTTCCCGAGATGACTTAGCACGGCCGGTCGAAACCTTTCGCTTTTTTGGGTTTGAAAAAAGTCACTGGAACAAAATGGCAGCACCGACCATGCTGACGATTTCTAGCTTCAACGGCCTCAAGGCCCCAGCCAGGGGCGTAGCTTTACAAAATGAGTTGAGGGGGGGGGCTGAGCAGTGAAAATTACCGAACGTACCCCAAAATATGCAAAAAACAGGTTTATCCATGGATTTTGCCCACTTCCTTTCCAAAGTGTAGGGGGCTGAAGCCCAAGCTGGTAGGGGATTGAATCCCCCCCCCCCCCTCAACTAAACAAGAAACTACACCTCGCCCCCAGCCTTACGGCACGGCTCGAGCGAGAAATCCGTTTTGTCTAACGTCCTTTTAAGTACCGTGGTGCATGCTCACGTCGGATTGCATGTCTGCACACTTGATCAAACATGGCCGGATTACAGCATGAGCCATGATCCCTTGAGACGGAGCCTGACACGGGGAGAGGGGGGAGGGGGGACAAAGCTCTGACAGCTTAAGGCGGTTGCTGACTTTGCGAAGCGTGATGAAGCTTGGTGTGACATGAGAAGCCACTTTGGGTGATGACGGATGGCCTACCGGAAAGTCTGACCCAAAGCCCGGCTGGATGGAGCACCTGAACGGCATTGACCACATGCTCCACCAGGACCGCCGCCAAGACTTACCTGAAAGGCGGTGGGGCTCGGGTGGGGGGTGGGGGGAGGGGGCAGTTTCCGCCTATGGTGAAAACGTAATACATACCGACCCGAGGGGAGGGCCAGAGGGACGTGCTCACCCTCTGCCCTCTTCCTGCACCCCTTGTTCTGTAATCTGTATTGCATGCTTCGTATCATGCATGATTTACAGACATCACATTCTGAATCCCGAGTTGTTGTTTTTTTTGTTAATGCTCAGGACCCACCGCCAGTAATGTCATGTCGTCTTGCAGAGATTGCATAATACGGGTTTGCAGTTCTTATGCTGACACCGAAAATGTAACCAATGTTTTCTCGGAAGCGCCGTTTAACCAGTACACCCTGGCATTCTGAAGTTCGCTTGCGGTGAGTATAAGAACTCCGATCTCATAATACCAAAAGGCAAGAATCCGACAAGCCTTCGCGCTTACACCAAGCGATAACATTAAGTCCTTCGCTTCGAGCAACCACGTAACAGCTTCGCTTTGAATCACAATGCATTCCTGACGCCAAGCCGGCTAAAAATGGCGACGGGGAAGGGTTAGGCGCGTGGCAGCATAACACCTTACATGGCACCTTGCAAATGCTGTCAGACTGACACGAAACTTTGTTAAGCTAAGCGGACGTGTTGACCGGCGTGAGCGTCTCTTGGGTGGGACGATGCCAGAGGTGTCACTTGGCATGGCTTCGGGGGCATGAGCCCCCCTCCCTCCTTCGCCGTCCCTTCCAATGCTGGCTTGAGCTCCCTCAATGCTCCTCTGAGCCTCGCCCAATGCATGTGAACAAACAGGGAATACTGGGCCAAAGAAATGCAGCTAGTGTCTTAACTGCTGGTACACAGATTCTAAAGGCATCACAATGTCTATCGTCCTCATCTGATATCATCATTATCCCTATCCGATATCGGCCTCAAATCACACGCCAATCTGCTTTTGTTTATTTCAATTGTGACATCAGGAACAAAAATCGATGCATGCAAAATACCGGGAGAAATCAGAATTGGAGGGTAGGTTAGGTTAGCTTCATTGGATACCCCCCGTTCAATTTCAGGAGATGACACCCTTGGACATGCGTCCATAGAGCGCATTGCTTCGTTGCTTCCAGATGCCTTTAAACCTGTACTTATTCGGCATTTCCCTTTTTCGCCACTTGATGATGTATTTCCATGTGACCCAATTCACAAACAAACTGACGGATAGGTACATCATGTTAAGTAGGAACGCCATCTGTACTAGGTCTTTGACGAATTAAAAACATCTTCGCGGCACTTTGGTGAGCTTAACGGCACACGATCAGCTTTGCTTCCGTCTTCCAAGTTGCCCTAATGCTTATGCATTTTAGATGTGGTATATAAATGGGTCATGCCCAACAGTGCTAGTGTGAAAACGGCTGCAATCTGACGGATGCATCACCGTCGCACATGCGCTGTCCCGCTGCGCGCTTGCGCTGAAGAGTTCAGGGTTTGAAGTTAGCGAGTCTACGCGCACTCAACGATTCCGCGTCCAAGGCAACCTATCAGCGTTGAGGTTACAATGCCACCAAAGTCGTCTGCCAATCAACGTCGAGTAAAGAATCTCAAGAAGTCTCCAATACGCAGTCAATACCACTTTTTGGAAAGCGGCTACGCTTCCGATGAAATATGGTAGCCTGGCACGAATTGTGTACAGCGGTCATATCCTCCATACTCACAATATGATGCATTTTTATAAATTAATTAAAGATCATCTAATCATAGCCTACATGTATATATCATAGCACTGGCATATCATGTCTACATGTCTTTGGCACCACATCTGCGCTAAATTGGAATTGTGTTAACACCATTTCTCGACAATTTGATACGCTTGGAACTTTCACTAACATTTTCGGCATTCTGCCAACTGCTCATTACCCAACGTAAACGGGGTATTGTGTTGCTCACTGCGACCCACGATCTGCCAGTCACGGAGGTTACGTCCCCTGATGTCATTGAGTAAGCGTTCCCTGATGTCATTGGGTTACATTGACTACCACTGTCGTCATTTTGCTGACGTCCGTTGACGTTACTGGGCTGGCGTCAACTGACGTCATTGATGTGGCATCAACGCATGTCATTTAGCCGACATTCGCTGACGTCATAGAGCTGACGTCCGGCACTGCGACATCATCGTCTCACCGCCCTTCCAGCGAGACGCGTCCGTCGCCGCTCCCCGACAGCAGCGCACCGCGGACGCCTCTAACGCCGGCCCTCCTGCGTTAGGAGAGCCGGCCTTAGATACATGATGGGCCAACTACGGGGCTGCCGTCCCCTGACGTCATTGGGTTGATGTTCACTGTCGACATTGAGCTGACGTCCACTGACGTCATTAAGCTGACGTATACTGACATCACTGAGCTGACATCCACTGACGTCATTGGGTTGACGTCAACTGAAGTCATTGATCTGATATCAACCGACGTCATTTGGTTGACGTCAGGTGACGTCATTGAGGTCATAGTCAGCCCGATGACGTCATTGACGACATAGGGCTGACGTCTGGCACTGCAGCATTATCCTTTCGCCGCCATTCCAGCGAGACGCGTCCGTCGCCGTCCCCGACAGCAGCGTGCCGCGGGGTGTTCTAACGCCAGCTCTCTGCCTCCTGTTACAGGCGGTCCGAGCGCAATGTGACTGGGACCGCAACCAAGAGGAGTACGAGGCCGACGGCTGCACGGCGGTCTTCTCGCCGGGCGTGTGTTGCCCGCAGGTGACCTGCGCAGGCGCCACCCTGCAGCCGGCCGGGCACCGGGTGACCACCACGCCGCGGCCGCTCGCACTCGCCGCGGGCGCTCCGGCCCCGCCCACCACGCAGGCCCCGCCCCCGACGGTAGCCACGACCCCGCCGACGACGCCCACGACGTTGCCGGCCGCGGAGACGCTGCCGCAGGAGATCGACCTGGGGCTGACCTCGGCGGCTCCGGCCGAGGGGCCGAGTGAGTCGACCGCAGTCGAGGAGCCGGAGGTCTTCGCCACCACCGAGCAGCCGGATGCGCCCACATCAGCCGAGGAGCCGGAAGTCTTCGCCACCACCGAGCGGCCGGATGCGCCCACATCAGCCGAGGAGCCGGAGGTCTTCGCCACCATCGAACAGCCGGATGCGCTGGTCTCAGCCGAGGAGCCGGAGGTCTTCGCCACCACCGAGCAGCCGGATGCCTCCATCGCGGTGGAGAAGCCAGACGCCTTCGTCACAACCGAGCAGCTGGATAGCATCATCTCAACAGAGGAGCCGGAGGTCTTCGCCACCACCCCGCAGCCGGACACGTCCATCTCGGTGGAGGAGCCAGATGCCTACGTCACAACCGAACAGCCGGACGCAGCCATCTCGGCGGAGGAGCCAGACGCCTACGTCACAACCGAACAGCCTGATGCAGCCATCTCGGCGGAGGAGCCGGACGTCCTCGTCTCAGCAGAGGCGCCTGCTGCCTCACCGGACGACGCGGTGACGGAAGCGCCGTCCGATCCGCCTTCGCTGACAGTCCCGGAGGCCTCAGCCGAGCTGACTCAGGCTCGGCCGGAGGTCCAGCAGGTCCAGCAGGAGGCGGACGAACTGGAGCAGCAGGAGGAGGCGAAGGCCGCGGAGGAACAGGTGGGGGACTGAGCCCGAACTCCCCCCGGACGCACCTCCAGCCCCGGACACTGCTGACGTTCCGGACCTGCGGCCGGTGGAGGCGCCAGTGCAGGAGATAGTCGAGGTCCCCGGTCAGGACGTCCCTGCAGTTGACGCCCCAGCACTGGAGCTGGTTGAAGCTCCTGAGCAAGAAATAGGCGAGCTTCCTGTGGCCGGCGACGAGCTTACCGCTGAAACAGATGTGGCGGCAGAGCCTGCCACCTCTCAAGCTGAAGCGCCGCAGGCCATCTCTGGAACGGAGGAGCCTCAGGCCGTCTCCGAGACAGAGGAGCTGCAGCTCGCACCGGCGCCAGAAGAGCCGCAGCTCGCACCGGCGCCAGAAGAGTCGCAACTCGCACCGGCGCCAGAAGAGTCGCAGCTCGCACAGTCGCCAGAAGAGCCGCAGCTCGCACCGGCGCCAGAGGAGCCGCAGCTCGTACCGGCGCCAGAGGAGCCGCAGCTCGCACTGGCGCCAGAGGAGCCGCAGCTCGCACCGGCGCCAGAGGAGCCGCAGCTCGCACCGGCCCCAGAGGAGCCGCAGCTTGCACCGGCGCCAGAAGAGATGAGGACGGAAGGTCCACCGGTCATCCCTGCCACGGAAGTGCCTCAGTTCACGACGGAATTAGACGGGCCAGAACTCGCCGCCGTCACGGAAGACCCTCAATTTAGCGCGGAGGCAGTTGAGGTTCCGCTGGTGCCCGCCACGGAGCCTGGACCAACGATTCCGCCAGAGTCAGTCGGAAGTGAAGATCTGCTGCTCGTTGAGGAGGAGGCAGACAGAGGCGATGTCCCTCCGCCCAGTGACGTAACCCTCTTTGGCGACGCACTCGTGTCTAGTGATGTGCCCCCGTCCAGTGATGTGCCCCCGTCCAGCGACTTGCCCCCGTCTGGTGACGCCCAGGAAACCAGTCTGCCCGCTCTGGCGGAGGAGGGGAGCGGCGAGCTGCTAGCGGTGGAAGAAGGCCCATTGCAAGAGGAGTTCCCTGCCAGCGTAGGCGATTCTGTCAGCGATCTGATACCGGTTCCGGGTGAAAGCTTTCCGGCACCGGAGGGCTCTGAAGGCATAGCCGTGAGGTGGGGAGGCGGGGGGAGGAGCGGCTTAGTGGAAAAACACGGCTTTAAGTATCGACTTATATAGCGCGTAAGTAAGCATTGCATGTAAGCACAGAGAAACATGTTTAACTCACTCAACATCTTGACGGATGGAGTGGTGAGTGTGGTGGAAGATTTACCCCCTTGACTACACGTGAAGATGTTCGAGTTCATGAGGGTTGTGATATTTGTGTTGAATTTCACAGTCGCGCGTGACGGTAAAACGTTCGAAGTGCATCTCGACCTCGAGGGTTTCTACTAGAGATTTTTTCTCTTGGCGATGGGAGCATGTCTCTGTGCCCTGGACACCGCAGGAATTGCCTCCCAAATCGTAATCTCAGTTTCTCCCGTCGATCTGTAAGGACGTTCACTTGCCTAAGGTTCGCCAGAAGGAAGGGAATACCGAAGTGTTCCAACACTTTGCCAAACGTGGGTGTAAGATTCAGAGAGCGAAATTCTCTTGGCGACTCCGGCATTGTTGTTTTTTTTTTGGAACTGGAGAGATGGTTGCCCTCGTCCAAACTGATATGACCTGCCCCCCCCCCCCCCCCATAAGCGATCGAAAAAAGACGCGTCAGTGGCATTCTTCACAATATTCATTCAGCAGCCGTGCCGGAGTACATCAGCGGGTATCAGCCACGTTTTCTCGAAGGTGAAATAGCTTACTTGCCGTGGTTGCAGATCAAATGGAATATTTTCGGAAGGCAAAGCACACGGTAACTGTTCCGTGCGAAGTGTTTCACGTGTTGAGCAAGTTTCCGCAAAGGATTCGTTGACAAGCTCAGTTTAACTGTTGGAGTAGTAGCTGTTAGCAGTAACGGAGTATGCGGCTCCGGTAAATTCAAGGGCGCAAGGTGCCGACTGTCGATTCGTTTTTGCTGGTCTGTCCGTACTAAAAATCATTCCTCTCACAAGCAATTTTCGTCATCTTTCACTTGTGCTAACTGGTCTCTGCAGCGGAAATTTCTTGACGTACCTCTTCCATTAGGTTCGTTAGTTTACCGAACTGGCGACCGCCGTGTGCGCTGTTTCGATGGTTGATGGGGGTCTTAAACTACTCTGTCATCCAACGAAGCTCGTTGACTTTGCGCTGGTTTTGCACATTGCTACTTTGCGTAACATATTCATTGATCTTGCACGACGGGGTAGAAGCTGGTCTTAGCCCTCCCCTGGTCTTGAGCACGCACTAAGAGGTAATAGCCCTGACACGATGGCTTTGTAAAGGCCTACTGCTTTAGGGGATCATTGTTGGTGATTCTACATTGGCTGGGACATCCTGCAAAACTTGCAGAGGCGAAGACGCATGAAGGAAAAGCTGCCAAATTTGGCAAAAATGGTCAGCTGCCAACTTTGGCCAAACTTTGCGGCGTCGCTGTGATGTAGTATGGTAAGCAGTGTTCACGGAGATTCCCTGATTTACAACGCTTCGAGAGCTCCTATGCCCTTGAAACCTGTGTCGCTGTTGTTTGCCACTAACTACGCCAATAAACAGCTTTGTTTTTTAGCTTTGCGTGTTCAGCTTCGTGTGGGAGCTGGAAATTATAATATACATCATAGGCAAGAAGATATGACAGCTCCATGAACAACCACATTAATTTGCACTAAAAGTGGCAATTTCTATAGCATGCACAAATGATCATTTTGTGGCCAATCAACAATACACAATAGCTACAAAAAAACTTGAGGGCAAAGGAAACGGCAGTATGTAGTGCGTAACAGGACTTCGGGAGCGAGGTAGCCGCTGGCAGATCCAATCCGCCGGCTTGGGGAGACAGATCGCTATGTCGACTAAAATAAGCTTGCCCAGGTAGAATTTTTCCTCGGAATCTCATCACCTTCCTTTGCTTTCAAGTGCAACTCAAGCAATACTTGTGAAAGGTAGCAATAATTCTTTGGAAATATTAACAGCCCTAGCATATCTGTGGGATTTTCGTTATAACCACGCAATTTTGCAGCCTTCATTTAAAGACTAGGTCGACGCAGACTAGGTCGGCGTCAGTAAAGCACTCTAACTTGGCTTCAGGTATGCCGCTGGTGGATCAGGCCGATTGATTTGGCGATGAGAAAGAACCGCGCTGGAAAATAATTATCCATGCATAATATACCTCAGGGTTATTACATTTCCTCGTATTTGAGATACCTTAGCTAATGTTTGGGAAGAGGATGACACAAAGAATGTAGTAATGACCACACAAACGTCGCTGGGGTAACGCTCAACTATTTTACGACAGTTTGTGAGCTCACGTGAACATTGTGCTGGTTGGTCTCCTCTCCAGAACTGAGAGACTCATAAAGATACCTTAAATTTCTGTTAATGCGCTTTCTAAAAAAAATATTGCCTTGTGCTAGAAATATGCCCGAGAACCCAATCATACTGGAAACTTAGCATACCAATTACTAAACTGACATTCATAATGCCCCGATTTTTTAACGTTCACTCTTTGCTGAATGCATACCTCCAGCCAAACCAGCCTGGGTCCTGCCGGAGCAAAACTACAGATTAATGGCTCCGTGTGTGATTTATATGTTTGGGGCGGGGGGCGGGGGGGGGGGGGGTTAGTCTCATGCGTGTAATCGCTTCCATAATAAAGAAGCGAACGAAGAAACTCGAGACGACGGCACATCCAATCCCTCAAAGGTGCCGCGGATGCTTCCTATCTCACATCTTGTTTCAATTATTTCTATTTTGCCAATTTCAGGCTCCAATAGAAATGACAAACGAGGTGAAGGGTAAGGCTCAAAGGATATGACGCCATATTTTAGCAATCGAAGACGAGCGGAGAGAGGGAGACACGGTCAATATGGCTTCCCCTGGGTGGTCAGTGGCTGTAGCACCCTCTACGCTTGCGAATTACGCTGGTATTGGAGACATCCCGGCAATTCGGCGAAAAAGGAAGGGAAAAGGGAAAACGCGAAGGAAAAAAGCGCCGGAGCCGCCTGCAGATCCGTCACGGGATCAAGGCGTGCGGCATTCACCCGCGACTCCCGTGCCTGGCAGGCAGCCGTCCACCCAGTGAGCGTCATCATCGCTCAGACCGCGGTGACGTCATCCAGCTCATCGCGCAGACCGCCGTGACGCCATCCAGCTCCAAGCCCGTCCACCTTCAGCGACTGAGCCGGGACGGTCTTCGACATGGCAGCGCCGTGCAGTCCCTGACAGACGTCCACCGCGCGCCGCCCCGGGTCGCGGCGACGTTCACCGGGCCGCGAAGGCCGCGGGGGAGGGAGGGGGGGGGGGGGGGGGGGGCTCAGGCGAGACGGCACGTCTTGGTTCCAAGCTGCAGTCGGCTCCAGCGGGTGTGACGCTGAAAATGGCGTCTCGCAAGTCCCAGGTATGCCGCTTGCTACAGACGCCGCTTTAATCATCGGTGATTGGACGCTACAATTTTGTTCTTGTTTGTTTTTCCTAAAGTAGACAAGACGGTCCGTTTTCTAGAACGCGGCTTTTCACCAGTATCAGATCCCGAATTGCCGGAATGCGGACGTTTCTGTACTTTGCATTAAAAAACCTATGGAATTTAGCACCCATAATGGCAGTGCCATTACCGCGCCGTTCCTTTAGCGGCGCCAGAGCTAAGGCCAAAAATGGTCGGAAATATTACAACAGTAGTGAAAAACTTACGGCCAAAAGCGGCGGTTGTAAATCACTGATGAGCGCGTGCCGCACTCCCTAAGCATGGCCTGGAAAACAGTTTGTCTTGGTAGGCCAAATCACTTTTAAGAATTCGTATAACAGGAGGATACAGACGAGCTGTCACGACTTCAAGTCATTCAGAATTAGTTCTGGTTATGCAATGTTTCCCAAGCTAAATCAGAATGTCTGAAAGGCAAAGTTAAGTGCAAAGTAGAGGGTTAGTAAAGTGTCAGCAATATGTGGAACGTGAATATGCATGCAAGGCTTTCCGCACGTTGTAAGCTGCTCTGAAACTGTTCCTGTCTGAGCGTAGTTAGTAGCGTAGTAGCGTAGTAGCGTAGCGTAGTAGTAGAGACCGAGTTTGGTGACCACCTTAGCACGCGCCCGCGTGGCCTGCTAGATACCTTTCGCTCGGATGGGGGGGGGGGGGTTAATTTGACCCAGCTGAGATCTCGAGAACTAAGAAAGCCAGAGACACCAAATTCACAGGGTGTGTTAATCTGTACGTGAACTAAATAGGTCAAATTTTAAGGTTCTTAGTTCATGACCTTCGGGTCAAATAAGGTCAAACAAGGTTGAATTCCGGATTGGTCCCCAAAGTGCCCTTAGAACCTAGTTCACTGTTTCTAAGCAAGCGGTCACATGCTTAGTAAGGTCAGTGACCTTGTTTGACCTTTTGAAGATCATGGTGACTAAAATCATGCAAGATCGCTCTGAGTTTTGCATTTGAATAAGCGGCAAAGATTAAGCTAGGCAGTATGATTCTAAAAACAAAATGTTGACCTGGGTTATTTTAGGTCAATGACCTATTCTGAAGTCTAAGAGTCTATGACGGATGTATAATGCGATTCCTGCTATCAATAAATTCGCAATGAGCACCAGCAACTATCCCAAACAGCAAGCCCTAAAGTAAAGAAACAGGCTGGTTTTGACCTCGGTCTGACCTTTATGCTTGACCTTAGTTCAGTGTGACTTGCTCATTCAATATTCATGTTGCACAAGAAAGCATCTCAGAGATGTATGGCTTCGTCTAGCACTCCGTTGTTGCACCACATTGAACGATTTCCTAGAAACTGACTTTGCTGAAACCATAACCCAACTTTGACTTGCCATAGGTCAGCGACCATACAGAGTGCATATTGATTTTGGATGTCAAACAATCCGCTATTCAATTATTTACAGCTATGCAGAATTTGGCGCGGCTGTGTCACGCCGTTCGGAAACCAGTCTGGAAAAACCTTTGGGGTGGTCAAGTTGACCCCCTATCCGAGCGCGGATTAACATACCTCTGCTTGTAAGAGCATCAGATGACACGAGCATAATCTCTGCCCATGCACAACCCCTTTGAAATAAGCAGATGCAGCTGCTCTCTACGGCCGGTTGGTAAACACCGGTCTCCATCTAACCGGCTACCATCGCAACCAACCAAGCAACCAAGCAACCAAGCAACCAACACAAGCCCCAAGGCAACACAGATCAGTCGCGCGGCGGTAGCGGATGAGGTAAAGCACCGGTGCTGTGACGATCCAGGAGACCAGGACCCCGGCATTACAAGGTCACCCGGCGTCTGTTCGGCGCTGTGACGATCCAGGAGACCGGGACCCCGGCATTACAAGGCCGCCCGCCGTCTGTTCGGCGCTGTGACGATCCAGGAGACCAGGGTTACCCGCCACCTGTTTGTCGCTGTGACGATCCAGGAGACCAGGACCCCGGCAGCATGCCATCGCCGGTTACAGGGTGCTCCACTTTCGATAGCGCTATGTGCACCCCGCAAAGGCTCCCTGCTGGCTCCGCATTAGTCGTATGTTCAGGAGGCACCTATGTCGAAAAGGCGCTTGTCCTATGTTCAACAGGAGGTTATCCTATGTTCAAGAGGCACCTGTCCTATGTTCAAAAGGCACTTTCCAAAGATGAAGAGGCACTTGTCCTATGTTCAAGAGACACTTGCCCTTTGTTCAAAAGGCGCTTGTTCTACGCCAAAGGGCACTTGGTGTGCTAGCATACGATGGGCTCTGAGGTTTTTTTTAATTTTTTTTTAAAGATTTGTTCCGAACCCTTTGAATGGATGGATTTCCGGGATCAGAGCTCACGCTAAGCAGTGCTTGTTGTGTGAGCCCTGACCCCTACCATCCGATCGCGCAATTCCATGTCAACGGCAGAATTTTGTGGCGAAAGCTTGACGTGCCGCAATGCTCGGCACGGTCCGTCCTGCCCTCTGACGTCAACTGACCTTTAGCGCGACCGCTGCCACCGGCCGCAGGCCATACCTGTCAAGGGCAAATAGGCGAGCACCCTAAAGCGACTCGAACCCATCCCGCCACGGGTGGGTGGATCGGAAGGCAGGCGCTCTAACCAACTGAGCCACCGGGACGGACAAAGGTGGGTCTTATGACGCCAGACTTCGCGTACTGACAGTTATCGGTCTACGATTGGTCATGAGGTGTTGGTTAAACGACGTTATCGAGCAAATATTGGCTATTCAGACGGGTCCCGCTTTCTTTGCTGCGCAAAAGATGATGTCGTTGGCGGCGGAAGCGTTGCCAGCCTTGGCATCACGTTGAGTAGTGTCCCAACAAGATGAGCGGGTCTTAGCTAAGATCTTCAAGGCGTTTGACAACGATGGATCACTCGGATGCATTGCCCGTGCAGCGCTATTTCACGCACTTCGGATATCGAAACGATCTTATTTCGTTTTCGTTCACATCTGCTTTGCTGTACGAGGAGTCAGCGCCGTTGGCATTGATATAGCACAACCCCCAATCCACACAGCATTGACTCGTGTTTCAAAGACGCACAGTTTTGTCCCGATAACTTTTTCTTTGCAAGTTTTCAAAGCTGCGTCGATTGCCATTGCCCTGAGAAGACGATTTTTGATTGAAGCCAATTGACGCCAGTTGACAACGAATACAGCATCTTTACACCCACTTGTAAAGGCGTTATATTCGTTGTTGCTCGAGCTTTACGGCATGTTTTCGACGGCTTGGCCTTTGCACATCTCGTCTTCTCGACGTACACGAAAAATACCTTTCTGGTAAGTGCCAAAACACCCCCCCCCCCCCACCCGCGCACGCATGACATATACCGACATCAGACTTAATGTGAACATGTCATTGGATCGTCACGGACATGGGTTGAAAATGTCATAGGTCACGGACATGTCTGGGCATGGACGTGTCATGGATCGTCACGAAGGCTGAGCCCGTGGTACGCGTCAATTTGACGATAATCAGCGCAGCCGTCCGCTGTACATCTGGCTAAATAAATGTACACGGACACAGACGTACGCTTAAATCTGTGGTGCATTACACAGGTTGCAGACTGCGCTCCTTGACCTAAAAATTGCGTGATGATGCAATCGGTGGACACAAAGCCGCCAGCTTCTGGGAGGCGTGGCGGCAGGATCGGGCCGCTCAAGCTGAAGGCGTTCTCACCGTTCTGGTGGTACGCGGCCTCATCGCAGAGAAGGCGGCTGAGGATCTCCGCTACGCTTGCCACACTAGCAGGCCGTGCAGGCCTGCTGCACCGGTCTGCACGGCGAGATGGCACGTCGGGCTACTGGCCGCATATCGAACTAACCGACAGCTGTAAAAAGGCGCCACCACTTTTGTCGTGGAACAGGGAGTCATCTTGAATGACTTCAGCTTTTGAATTCGTCATCAATAGCCAAACAAAGCGAGCTACAAGCGGCTTCCGCCTGCTTCACCGTGCGAAGAGGCAACGCCGTTCGCACCGGTAGCGTTACCACCCGCGACGTCACATTCACACTGGTAGTGTCCCCACCACTGACGTCACGTTCCCACTGGTAGTGTCATCACCAGTGACGTCACGTTCGCACTGGTA